AAACAATTGTTATTTATAAAAAATTAAATGAAAAAAATAGAGTTGATATTTTGTAAATATATTTTAAATAAATTTACTTAATGTTAAATTTTCAAGCTGTTTAAGCTGTTCATCAATATCTACCGTAATTCGTGCAGTTTCTTGATCAATCCAAAGATTACTTAAAGTTTGTTATTTAGGAGGTTCATAACCCGCATTAAGATTTTTGAGTAAATCAATAAAAAAAGGACTTTTGACTACCCAAAAAGGAATTCCACAATAAGTAAAAAAATGAGTTAAGGCTTTATTAATAAGCTTTTCTTAATCTTCATCTATATAAGTTGATTGAAATTTATCTGTAATTTTTGGTTGATTCTTAGTTTCAATTTCAATTTTTGCTTTTTTTTTTTTTGAAGATTTGGAATTCATTACTATATGTAAGTATTTTTGTTTAATATTTCCTGGCACATCTTTACATTCTAATGCTAAATGTGATTTCATATCACTAGGCTGTCCTTTTGATGTAACATCTTCACAATATTTACACTTCATTGCTACATGTCCATGTTTATCTTGCATACCAAGTTTAATATATTCATTATTTACAGGGTCTTTGGGTCTACCAACTGTTTTTTTAGTTTTTTTTACTTTTTTTCTTTTTTTATTATTTTTATTCTAATTATTTTCACTAATACTTTCATCACTAGCAGAATCTTCCAAACTATCAGCTCTATCAACTTCATGAATTTGACTATCATTATGACTATTATCATTACTTTCATTTTGGCTAAAATTATTTTGCAAAATGGTGTTTGACATTTGAAAAAATATAGTATAACGATAATAATGGATAATGATGGTAATCAATATTTTGAATTTATGATTATATATAAATCTACAAGATCTATATTTTAAATTTTATTAATCGTTATATTATATATTCATTATTATTATTCATTTGAAATATATTTATTCGAATACATATGCATATACGTAGTACATAATAAAGTTTAATACTATACACTAGACTAATAAGGGCTTGAATAATAAAACAAAACTTTAAAGTTTTGCAAATAACAAGTTATACTTTCTGAAAAT